CTCACTCGGGAGTCTCAAAATATTTAGATTAGTGAAGAATATGCTGAAATTTCCACTTTGAAAACCATGTTTCCTCCTCTCAGCACAAAAAGGCCCCTTGCTTTTCTACTCTAACATACCCGCAGAGATCAGACAGGGACTTTTGTCCTTGATCCGATCCAGAGCCTGGTCAACAAGAAGTATTTAAAGGGGAGGGGTGGGGGAGGGGTAGTATTTTTCTAAAATACTAATTTAAAGAACAAATCAACATCTATTATCTCCTTCATTATGTTTTAAATTGTGCAACTATAAATCACCCTGCCGCGGGTTATTCAAGGGCAGAATTACCAGGCTTGGCTTTCCCGAAGGTTAGAAGAATGACACCGAGCGCTTTTCCCAGTTATAATTTATAACTCTGCAACAGGAACGGCGGCGCAAGCCCATCCATTAGCGGGGTGGCCGCACATCTGTTAAAACTCAGCACGATGACTGAGTGCGGCCCCAGGAAACGCAACCCAATCGTTTCAGAAGTTCCACAAATTCAAGTCGCTTTTTTTTTTTTTTAAATGTAAAACGATTTGAAAATGCGGTCCCCCTAAAACATCTGCTAAGCTCTTGCTACCCTAACACATGATACTCTTTCTACCATTACCTGCCAAGGCAAATATGTGGTTGCACAAAACACTCTGAGGGGCACGTGACGGGGGCTCAGCTTCAAACTTCCATACTGATGGCAAGGGGCTGGCGTGGGCCTAGGAATCTGAGCTGAGACATGGTTTACCAGGACTGCAAGTTTCTGTGGGGGAGAGAAGGGGGAGAGGGTGCGCTTCATGAAGGTGCTTTCAAATGTTTGAAAAAGGAAATAACCACAGGGCTGGATCCATATGGCAGGGCTGGCGGTACATTTGACAAAGAAAATGAACTCGGACAAGTAGCTGGCCAAGGGTCTGCCGGCTGATATTCCAACTTCTTGAACAAGCTGGGTAAGTTCCATGTGCTTTTTCAGTGTTTCTAACGTAAAAGTGCTGTAAGCAATGAGTGAAGGCGTACACGCTGATACATTTAGGCTTCACAGTGTCTGGCCTTACCAGTCAAGCTGCATCCTACTTGGGTATGTGGCAACAACTGAAAAATAGCCAAAACTACTTTTGAGAACTTCTTATATCACTAGATAAAACAACATGCCTGGTTTTGTGAATTAAGCCCCAGAAAGTAATATGTACGTATAAATACATTATACACACATACATATAATATATATAAATGCATTCATATGCAACATGCAATTTTAGAGCCCATATGAAAAATGTAATTTTAGAGGGATTTTAATAAAAAGCAAGATAGGCAGGAAAATAAGCACGTAACACAGATGGCTGGATGTGACTTTGTAAACTAGAAAGCTTCTGTTAACTCTAGTTTCCTTCAAGATGTTGATCAAGCAGCTAAAGAACCCTGTTATCTTTTTTAAAACAATATTCTAGAAAATCCTAATCTCATTTTTATCTATTATTTTAATTTTAACATAAATTAGAGGGAGGAGAGAAAAATGCTTGTCTCCCCACAAACCCCCATATACTGGTCGTGACCACTGGACCTCCAGAGGAAGACGTGTCAGAGACAGGCTCCACCGGTAGGGGTCGCTGTGTCAAGAATTAATCCCTAAGAGTTTCTCATTAGTGATTATTATACTGCAGGCGGCCAAAATGGAAATATTAATTAATTTCAAAGTGATAATGCATTTACAGCAACAATTAGAAATGTATAACTGTAAAAGGGCAACATTTAAAAGACAGATTACATTTAATAAAGTTGCACAAGAACATCCAATTGTAAAATTACTAATCTGCAACAATATTCCTTAAAGAGGCACTTAAAATAGCCTGACTCCATGAAGGGTGACCTAATTACTGTAACTAAAATCACTGTAGTCACAGCAAGTCACAGCAAATAAAAAAGGGACGTTGATGTTAGAATACTGCTGTTTAACACTCACGGGAGCCGGCGACGGTGGAAAAGAAAGGCAGGCCTTCCCAGCACAGGGCTGGGCTGTGTCTGTGCCCTTGACCTTGTACATGGAACGCACACTCCAGCAACTCCCAGGCTCAAAGGAAAGGGGGCGCCGGCAGAGCGCAAAGAGAATGCCAGGCCCGGGTGGCTGGGACCCCGCCTCTGCGCTCAGGCTCTCCACGGGCGCTTCGGGTCCAACTTCTACACGGGGTGGGGCTGTGGGTGCAACGGCATGGCTTAGGTCCAAAAGCAGGTCTGCATTAAAATGACAGAAGCGTGCCCTTCATCCACAGAGCAATGTCTTAGCGCGACAGAAGCAGTGATAGCCCCGTACAGAAGGATGAGACCCCAGGCTGACTCTTCCAGTGAGTCCAGTCTGTCCTACCAGCGAGATAGTAGATCCCTGGTCTCCCTAGGGCAGAGCCCTCCCCCACATACAGAGTCCTGCATGTTCGTGGAAGAGAAGTGACTGGCTGTGAGCTTCACAAGTCCAGGGAGCCCATCCCACCTCTTGATGAATCTCAGTCACGTGGGACTCTGCTGTCTAAGAAACAGCACCAAATACCTAGATACACAGAGCTACGATAGGTGCTCTATCCATCGCTGTCAACCCGCACACCAACCTGTCTTGCCATTATGGTGAGAGGTAACAAGCGCAAGAAGGTCGCACGTCGGGCCCGAGTCCTCCCAACGCCAAGGGTTAGAGCTGGGCTTGACTGGCAGGACCATGAGCAAGACAGCGGCTTGCTCTACTATCCCAGGCAGCAGCCTTCTCACACTCACCACCACCAGGAAGCCCTGTCAAATCCTTTTCCTAACACCTTCCTTGCCTTTTCATGGAATAGTCCATCACTGCCGAAACAACTTAGATAAAATTCAGTGCGTTTTTCTTGGTTATGTCACCAATTTTCTCCAAGCCTTCTCAAGGCTTCTCTGCTCATTTTCCCAAATGCCCCTTTCACCCAGAGCCACAGAGACCAGATCTTGTTTGATTTGGCGCCCCAGGCTGCTCCCAGTGGGCATTTTCCTGACGGAAGGATCGGGGCCAGGGCTGGGAGGAGGCCAAGGTCTCTGTGCACTGGATGGGGAGGGCAGGAAAGAGCCACGTGTGCTGGGCATCAGGCGTCACTGGACCAGCTCCCAGCGTGGTGAGTGGGGACCTTCTCCGGTATGGCAACACTTCTGCCTAGGTTTCCAAAGCCACACTCTGCTTTTCCACTGGCTGGTGTCCCAACCAGAGTTACCATCAAACAGTATTAGTTATTAATGCCACCCAATACTCTGTGATCGCGACATGGCTGCCTGCCTGATTTCATTTGCTGGCACTATCAGAAACCCTCCTGATACATCCAAGAAGCTGAAAACACAGCCCGACTCAGCTAAACACATGTTTACACACTGCATTCATGTGAAGTATTAGATCCCCTCCCCAAGAAACAGAAAACCATTCACCCCATCTTCTACTTTCCCAGAGCCAGTCTTCCTCTTCCTCCCACCTGCCCCATCCAGGGTTTTTAAGCCCTGGGATCTCATCACAGAATAAGAGTCGTTGTCATTGCGCATCAAGGCGCCCTCAGTGAGTGGAGTCCACATCCAACAGTGGATCAGACGGTTACACCACCCTCCATGACGGTCTGAGTCATCACAGACCCACAGCGAGCTCCTTACCATCACATTCCTCTGATTAGAGAAATCCCAGAATAAGAAAGAAACAAGACCTGATGTCACAGAAAGGAGTTCCTTCGCTTCCACCAATGTTCAAATACAAGTGAGGAAATTCAAGACCCAGAGATTACAAATTATACTTGATGATTGGTCCACTGGTCATGAAGGTGCAGGGCCAGTGGAAAGTGAGAAAGGACGCTCCTCTCTCCTCTCCAACTTCCTAAACTTGAACAACTCATCCACAGGGCTGCCAGTGGCTCTAGCACCAGTCCAGACCAATATTCTTAAGACAATGAGCCAAAATCATGATCAAAGACGCCCTTGCAGAAAACCTACTCTCATGCAAGCACAGAAAATCAGTCAAGCAGGAACCAACAGAAGCCTGTGGCACACACTCCCCTTAAAACTTGGAGAACGGCTCTCCAGAGGTCCTCTCACGTCTTTGGTTCTTTAAGTATTCAACTCTTGAATTATATCTATTTATTTTGCATAAGAGATGCCTGTGTGATCGAAATTTTAAAAACACGCTTACTTTCTTCCTACGCACATCAGGAGATTTTCCTCGTTGTGTTTGTCACCCCCAAACATGAAGTTTAAGTAGGTGGGAAATTTTAGAGGCCTGTATTTTAGAAAAGTACCATACCAAAAATATTGTGTACAATACGCATTCTTCACTCAAATGACTTCCTACTCAATGCTTTCACGAAAGAAGTGTTCAGAGACAGCTGTGAGAGGGCCATCAAAAACAGGAAAACTTCACACTTACCTTTGTGAAGTCCAAGTCGAAACGTGGTAGTCTGAAGCATCCAAAAGGACTTACCTTTGGCAAAGTAAAGAATAAAATGTGCCTCCAGCTGACAAAGGATGCTCCAGCAGAGGTTTAAACCCATTAAGAGAAAGATTCAGAGCAAAAATATAGACTCTCAATGGAAACAAAGGAACCACATTTGCTGAGAATGCAAAAGTCACAAACCCATGCTATTTACCTACTAACACAAAACACAGTTTGGAAGGACTGCGCTTACTGAAGGAAAAAAAGAAAAGATCACATCAAATGTAAACAAACCATCTTCATCAGCCGTGTTAGCCGTGTTAACAGTGAAAACGCACAGCTTCTCTCTGGGCCTTTGAGACATCTCTAGAGAAACAGATGCGAACTCAGGTCAACTGAAATGTGCTCAAGCGCCCCTTCGCATCCCTCTAAAACGTCTGATGACGTGATGCTCAAGACCAGACTCATTCTCATGAGAGGTGAGAGGCCAAGGAAGCGAGTGTGACTGGGTTTCTCTAGTGCCCTTTCCGGAAAAGCACACGGGAGGAGTGTGTGGCAACTGCGGCTGTTGACTCACCATGGACTTGGTGAAGGGTCTCGCCAAGGTGAAGAGCAGCGTGTAGACCCACCAGCCACGGTGGAGGGCGGAGTACATCATGTTCCCGGGGTGCACTGCATTCGACGTGACCCCACGGGGGGACAGGCGGCGGTGGAGCTCGTTGGAGAACAGGATGTTGCACAGTTTGGACCGGTTGTAGGCCAGCATGGCCCAGTAGTCGTTTTTCGATGGAGAAAGGCGGCTAAAGTCTAGTTTTCCCGAGGAATCGTTAATATCTGTAAATCTAAAAAAAAAACAAAACAGAAAATGTGATATGAATCAGTCAGCCCCTGACTTCTTATACAGCTTTGTGTTTTTATTAGAAATCTGAGAAAACCATGCAGAGATGACGGAAATCTCAACTGGGTGACCACTGAAACAAAGTCTCCTTAAAAAGAAACAATGGTGATTTCACAATATAAACCAACCAGGTCCAAAGACACACTTAACAAGGGGCCAGACTCAGAAATGGAGTCGTCTTCACTGAACCCCCATCCACTATCCCTGCCTCTAACATCTATTTTTTCAAAACCTTCAGCAGGAAGTTCAAGGATAATTAAATTAAATGGGAAAACATTTTAAATGAAGGGCTGCTGCTTTTGGAAGCAGAAAGATATTGCATTCCTAACCCTTGACAGGGTTTTCCTGGGTTATTTTAGCCAGTGTTTGTGTCCTGTATGTTTTCGTTGGAGCATCCAAGTAAATATAGATGAGCCTTGCTGCCTCCAAGACTCTCATCCAGATTAAAAATTAATGATTATAAAGGGGTTATAACCTTGGTGAGGTGCCATCAATAGTCTCATACGTTTAAAAGATAAATGTAAACAAAGCCAAAATGAGTGCTGGCAGAGTCTAATGTTTTTAAGTATACCCATGGCATGGATACACACAAATCAAAGTAAGTAGTTGATGTTTTATAATTGGGTCTGACGGAGTCGTTAAACACCAGCTGTTTGTTTCTTTCCTTCCTTTCTTCTTTTTATAATGACAACAAAGTAATGACTTCCCTAACAACCAAAAGAAAGAAGAAGAAAAAAAAAATGATCATAACAGAAGGAATTCGGTCTCATATTCTTTAAGGAACCCTCAGAGTTTGCTAAATTAACTCCGGGCATTTTCCCCAAATAAAAAGGGAGTATATGAGGGCACTGGGAACAAATGCTGAGGAAAAGGAAAGCAAAAGGTGAAGTGGAAATTATAGAACCATCTGGAAGTTCCTTAGTATGAGCAAGCAGTTCATGTGGGGCTAGGACCAAGAAATTCATGTGTTAATGGAAATTAAGTACCCCTTCTCTAGGACTCAGTGACATCCCGTTTCTCATATTAAATGACTTCACCAAGACGAAGGCATCAATAAAGCTGATGGCTGGAGATGTCAGTGTGGACACGGCAGTGAGACCCTAGTTGTTTCCACGTCCCCAGACCATGAGAAGAGCCCAGATTTCTGAGCTTAATCATCTGGAGCAGTGGGACTTGGCGGGAAATTTGGAAATTTATGGGGGCCTTTTTCTGGTTGTCATAACGATTGCCGGTGGGGCGCCGGGGACAGTGGATATCCCGCCAGGCAAGGGGAGTCTTGCTCAAGGAAGACAGCCCTGCTGGACACGCATGCGGATGAAAGCCTGTGCGTAATTATCTGAGACTAGAATCGAGCTGTGCTCTGCACAGATACATCGTCCTAACAGCTACTGAACTTCCAAGAGTGGAGCGCCACAGCTTTGCGAGTGAGGAAGGAGTGTGCTTTGGGATTCTGGGGGTGAGGCTTGACCTGAGGCTGGTGGCACTGGAAGCCGTAAGGCCGCACACCTGCCAAGAGTCAGCAGGTGTGAAGATCCTGATGGAGGATCATGCACTCCAACAACTTTCCATCCCTGGAGCCTGCCTACACGCTGACATGTTGGAACACATGTTATTTTAGCTTCACAGTCATTTAGGCCCAACATTACAGGTAGGTAAGTCCACTGAGTTACAACATGTGTATGCAGGGAAGTTATATTATTTCTGAATTTTATTTCAACACAGTGATAAGGTGTTATAGAAGAGCTGTCACACACACACACACACGATTGCTGAGTTGAGGATACAATGATCAAAGGTAAGGGCCACATCCCAGAAGTTCTCCACGCTCTGGGAAGAGAAGAACGTCAAGGATTTCAACAACGTCTAACAGGTACAGGGTGAATACAGCAACCTTCGCCCACTCTGCTGTGCCGTCATCGCCCTTCTTGGGGTCTCTGTTTAGCCCAATCCAGCTCAGGTATCACTTCTTCCAGGAAGCTCTCCCTGACTAATCCTTCCATTGCTTTATACCACAGTGATTTCTTGGGTGGCAGTGAGGGACAGACTGAAAGATGGCATGCAGAGCAGATGGAGATGAGGTGTCCGTTTTCCAGGACCTGGTCTATCGTATTCCTACTGTTCAAGCACCTGCCACCCCCGCAACGTGACCAACAACACAAGTCAAGCCCCCTGGCACTTTGTGCCTCTGTTCTGACCACACAGACCACTCTCCACCTGCTTCCAGGCCTAGACTGTGAGCTCCCAAGAGACGGACAGTGAGCTCCTTGACATATAGTGGGAATTAGATACAGTATTAAAAAACTGAAGCCTCGTCATGGGTTCATAATTCTAGATTAAAAGCCAAGTTTTCCTTATCACAAAAAGCTTTGTTCGAGCTTTGTGCAGAAGGCAAGTTTCACCACTGGGTTCAGATGCTTTATGTTTTCCATGAATATTTGCAGGTAGCACTTTCTCATGTTGAGAGTAACTTCATGCTTTGGCTTTTTAAGGCTGATGCAGACTTGGGAACACTGGGTTACATTCAACCCCTACTAAGAGGTAGGTGTGCCTTCCTAACCCCCAACCTAAATATGAGGCCAAAACAAAACAAAATCCACCATGATGAGAAGTTAGATGGAACCAGGTTGAAGGAAGGTTTCGAGATGGAGAAGCACAGCTATTAACACCAGGCCCTCCCTCTGCTCGCCATCAGCAGAGCCCAAGTTCCTGCCCTGCTGATCCCCTGGGCAGTGCACTCATTTCTAAGGCCTGATTAGCTTGTTTGACAGTCCTCCAGGGAGCAGGGAGGGTGGGCAAGCTTTCTGATTCCTCTGAGCTGATCCGGCTCCCTGAAAAATGACCACATTCACCTCTCAGCTCAAGAGGCAGCAAAACAAGTCTTGAAAGGCTGCCCACCCTGTTTTCAAGCTGAAAAATTGACAAAGCCAAACAATAAAGTCTTAATAGATCTCTCCTCCTACCGGAGCACTAACATGTTAACACTTGCTCTCTGGACATTAACATCTGCTGTCGGAGAAGACCTTTATCTTGTATTTCTCTAAATACTTCTCCTTTATTTTTATTTTTTTTTAAACTGAGGATTTTTAAATAACCCAAGTAACATAATTAGGCTGGATTCTATGGAGACAAAAGCTAGTATGTTCAAAGAATAGGACTGAATTTGCATCTGAGGCTGTGTGTGTGTGTGTGTATGTGTGTTGTGTGTGTGGCAACTTGGCACTCCACACAGCTGCAGCCGTCTACCGCCCTTCAGCCAGCACTCCACTCTTTTCATTCTATTTTAATTGGTATCTGGAAAATTTTTCATGGCAAGGAAGTTCTCATTTTCATAGGGTGGATTTGAGGTATGCAGAAACTCGACTCACTTGTTCCGATTGCAGATAAGTAACCAAAATACAGGGACAACTCAGGGAGGCTAATAAATATTTTGCCTTGGGGCAGTCTGGTGTAACATTTTCTGCAAACATCGGACTTTATTTTTCCCCTAACAGGGGGTCTTGACCCCAACGAAGAGATTCCGCCAAGGTTTATGGAGGTAATTAGATACCAACCCTTCCGTTTTACGACACGGTTTTAGGGCTCTGGGTCCTTGGGCAGTGAGTGGGCGCTCTCCCAGGTCTGTGCGCCCAGTGTTCACACTGGCTCTGGGGTGTGGCACATGGGTAATAAACAGACAAGCTTGGGGGGATTAACATTTTGCATAAACGCCCTTTAATATGGGCACGAGTTCATCGGAAAACCAGCGCCCAGCACCAGACAGGAGAGGGCCTGATAACACGCACTTCAGGAAGACCTGGTCTAGAAACTAAAATGGATTGAATTCAAGGGGCCAAAGCCCTGCCTCCCGATCCATCTATTAAATGAAATTAAGATTTGGATCTCCAAGGTAAGCATGAATTACACTGCAGTTAAGGGGAGAACAAAGACACCACATGAAATAACCATGTCAGATCCAGATTGAGAAGGGAAGCAGGCAGCTGACAACTCCATAGACTCGCCCATTAAATACCAGCTCATTTAAACCAATCCCGGGGTGCCCTCTACATCTGGCGAAAGACAGCAACTGGCAGGTTTATCCCCGTGCTCTCACCCCATCGCCTGCCCCCACGGGGGGCTCCCCCTCACGCCTGAGCAGGGACACTCCACTTCCAGGAACCTGGTCTGATTTGCAAAGATAAGGATGTCCAGATTTTGTTACCACCTCATTATGAAACGTCCCATGTCTTTTAACACGGGGGAGGATTATTACCGGCATTTTCCTTTCATTTCGGCCGTCATAAATTTCAAACGGCAAAAGTAAATCTATCCGCAGCGTGTCACTTTGACCATAAGCCCCTGTGTTTGGGAGTGATAAACGGTTCAGGCTAACCCTTGGCTGGTCTCTCTCTTCCAAGTCCCAGGGGTTACATTTTATGGAAGCGTGATTAAAAAAAATAAGCTTCATTCTGGGTCACTAAAACATCTCAGGACTTAAGTCGGAGAAGAGGAAGGGGTGAAAAAACAGGCCCTGGCACGTTCTTCTTCTCCAGCTACTTTGCTAGGAGTAAAAGCCCCCATCCACACCGGGAAAATCTCCATAATGTATACTAAACTCTAGCTTCACCCGGCAGTTCCCTCATCCTCTCCCAGTACTTCTCTCAGTTGTTTATCCACCTCTAGAAACAAATATGCTGAAAATACGAGGAAATTTTCAAATGCCTTCCTAGTCGACTGAATATTCTCCTAATGGTAATAGAAAAGAATTGCCATCTGATGTTTTAATTGAAATTTTAACCAAAAGAGGCATGGCCAGATTTCTAATATGTTCTAACTACAGTACTTTCCTTTCTACAATTACACAGCTAATGTCTGCATTGAATTCCCTAATTTCTCATTATAAAACAATTGGATTTCATCTCGCGGTCTTTAATTGCATTGTTTCTACTGCTAGAATAACTGCACATTCTTCTTGGTGAGGTGGTGAGGCTGGTGAATGACAAATCAATAAAGGTCAGGCATTCAGATTTAATCAATTATTATTCCATCTCGAAGCAAAATCAATGAGGGGCTTGAAGTATAGTTATAAAAACCATCTACCGTGCTGTCTACACTACCCCTAGACAATCGCCCACCATCACAAAAAATAAATAAAACCTTGATAAGTTCAGGAGCCAGGTTGAGTATACACTCTTCGGAGAAGCACTAATGAAAATTATCTTCAAAAACAGAGGGCTGCCCTGGTGGTTTAGTGGTACAGAAGCTGCCTGCCAATGCAGGAGACAGTGGTTTGATCCCTGATCCGGGAAGCGCCCACGTGCCTTGGGGCATCTAAGCCTGTGCATCGCAACTCGTGAGTACGTGCTCTAGAGCCTTGGAGTCCCAGCGACCGAAGCCCACGAGGCGCCTCCTGAAGCTGGCATGCTTCGGAGCCCATGCACAAGAGAAGCCAGCACAGCAAGCAGTCTGAGCACCGCAGCTAAAAAGGGCTCCCCCCTCGCCACCACCAGAGAAAGCCCGCGCAGCAGCAAACACCCAGCACAGCCAAAAGTAAACAAAATCATGTATTTAAAAAAACTTAAAAAAAAAAAAACAGAAAGCGAGCCTGGGGGTGGGGACCATTAGCTGGTCAAAGGAAAGGTGCCTCTGAAAAGAACGTCCAATTCTAACCCACCTATGGGACTCCGAGGAGACCACAACGACCCGGGCAGGGGCTGAGCGGCACAGGACGTCCTGCAGGAGCTGGACAAGGTAGAAGTGGCCCAGGTGGTTCACCTGGAAGGTGGCCTCCAGGCCGTCTTTCGTGAGGGTCCAGGGGAGCCCAAACACAGCTGCGTTGCACACAAGCACGTGAAGTGACCTGAAAAATAAAACATCCCAGTGTTATGCAGAAATAAACACTCTGAAACCAAGGAGATCCATGCTCCCCGCCCCCCGGGAATAACCATTCTTCACTATCTTGCAGATTACAGGCAGCTGGAAATGGGACAGCTGGGAATGTCACATCTGAGACAGTTCTGCTGGGGAAGGGCTTGAACTCGCAGTGGGCGATTGTGCTGAGCGGCTGGGGACCACGGGGTTCCTAGCCCAAGAGACTCTGACTGCCAGAACTGAGACCGTGCTGGGCAAACTGGGATGAGCTGGTCACCCTGCTTGGAGTACAGGTTCTACCATCTATTTCAATCTGTGCTTACTCTACCTACTAAATGAGCAGACTTATTTATATTTACATTATCTTGTACAAAGCTGGGAAGACTATATACTCCCATGCCATGGATATTAAGTTGAGGATACTTAAATCACGTGTTAATATTTTCATTATCTCATGAGAACTAGAAATATCTACATTACTTCGCCCAGTAATCCTGTTTCCAAGCAATGGGGTACATTGGAAGTGGCGGGGGGGGGGGGGGGGGCAGTGTTCAAAGGATAGCAACTCGTACCTCTAAAGGAAGATACTGCATCATTGATAATGTTCAGAATTTCCACTGAATGATGACAATATAAAGCAAAGTAATGTTTGGTAATTTTATTACCGCTATTTTTCTTTTTTAATGTATTTATTTTAATTGGAAGATAATGACAAAATTGTACTGGTTCCTGCCACCCATCAACGTGAACCAGCCACAGGTATAGGCATGTCCCCGCCCTCCCCCTCATCCCACAGAGCACTCAGCTGTGCTCCGGGCGTTCCAGGGCAGCTTCCCATTAACCATCTGCTTTACACATGGGAATGCACGGGTTTCAGGGCTACTCTCGGTTTGTTCCACCTTCTCCTTCCCTGCTGTGTCCACAGTCTGCTCTCCATGTCTGAGTTTCTATCCCTGCCCTGTAAGTAGATTCATCAGTACCATCTTTCTAGATTGCATATAGATGTGTTAATAAACAATATTTGCTTTGCTGTTTCTGACCTACTTCACTCTGTCCCCCATTCTGCCTACACATGGGCAGATGGTTCCTACAGCCACCTCCTACCCACTCCATATGCCACTGCTTCCGTAATGGATTAAATGGTGGACCCAAAAGATAGGCTCACTAGGAACCTGTGAATGGGACCTTACTGGAGAAAAGGGTCTTTACAGATGTTAATTAAGTTCAGGATTTTGAGATAAGATCCCTCAGGAATAAGGGAAAACTCAATGCTATTGACAAGTGTTCTTACAAAAGAAGAGAAGGACAGAAGGCATGCAGAGAAGACTCTGTGAAGACAGGCAGAGACCAGAGAGATGCATCTACAGAGAAAGGGGGGTGGACGAGTGCCCAGGGCACCAGAAGCTCGTGAGGGGCATGGACTGGACCCACCCTCAGAGCATCCAGGAGGGACCACCTGCAGACGTCTCGCTTTCAGACTTTAGGCCTCCAGAACTGGGATAAATTAGATTCCGGCTTTTCTGTAAGCCACCAAGTGTGCAGTAATTTGTTACAGCAGCCCTAGCAAACTAGTACAATTTCCAAGATTCATCCTCAAGGGTGAGTAATAATTATATATATATGAGGTAGAATTATTAAATTGTATATGAACTAGAAACAACTTAAAATTCAACAGCAGAGATTAGATAATCAGCAATGATTAAGTCAGAGAATCCCAAACTTCTCAAGTCAACTGAAAAAGCAGGAAATTAAATGTTATATGTCTGATGCATATCCCTCCCTCCCCCACCAAAAAAAAAAAAAGATTTTTATACATTCAGGCAGCAAAACAGGAAGTACAGGAAAATGTTAGCTCTGCATGTGTAGGATATTGTTAGATTGCTTACCTCTTTTTTTATGGTTTTTGTTATTGTCCAAATTTTCTTTATATGCATGGATTTCTTTTTAAAATTCCTGAGATGCAATTCACAAGGCATACAATTTACCCTTTTGAAAGTGTGCAATTCAATGGTTTTTAATATATTCATAATTTGTGCAAACACCATCACATGTTAATTTTACAGCATTTCCACATCCCCAAAAAGCAACCCCATATCCATTAATAGTCACTAACCACTCCCATCCCCAAGACACCATTAATCTGCTTGCTATCTGATGGATCTGCCTATCTTGGGTGTTTCATATAAATGGAATCATGCAGTATGTGGTCTTCTGTGGCTAGCTTTTTTCATTACATGTAACGTTTCCAAGGTTCGTCCATGCTGTTCCAGGTTATCAGTTTTTCATTGCTTTCTGTGGCCAAAACCCACACTGTATGGACATATCATGTTTTCACTGAACTATCGGCCAGTTGATGGACATTCCAGCTTTTTCCATTTTTTTTTTTGCTACTGTGAATATTAAGGCTATGAACAGTCATTTACAAGTTATTGTGGAAATACATGCTTTTTATTTCTCTTGAGTATATATGTAGACATGGAACTGCTGGGTCATATGGTTAATTCTATGCTTAACTTCTTGAGGGGTTGTGGGGCTGTTTCCCAAAGAGTGGCTGCACCGTTTTACAATTCAAACTGCAACACATTACGATTCCAATTTCTCCACATTCTTGCCAATATTTGTCATTATCTTTTTTTTTTAAAGCCACCTTAGTGAGTATAAAGTGGTGCCTCAGTGTATTTTTATTTGCATTTCTCTAAAGGCTAATGATGCTGAGCATGTTTTTATGTATTTTTTGGCAATTTATATTTTTGGAGAAACACCTATTGTCTATTTAGGTGCTGAGCCAATTTTTAATGGAGGTAATTATCTTATTGATTTATAAAAGTTCTTTATATATCTCGGATAGGAGTCTGTTATCAGACAATTTGCAAAATTTCTCTCTCATTCTCTGCGTTGTCTTTTCACTTTCCTGATGGTATCACTGACAACACAAAAGTTTTAAATTGTGATGAAACACAATTTACCTATATATGTATTTTTTTTGGGGGGGCACCACTTGTGTTTTGCGCTTATATCTAAGAAACCACTACCTAACCCAGCATCACAGAAATATACTATCTTTCTTCTAAGTGGTTTATACAGTTTTAGCTCTTACATTAGGTCTATGATCCATTTGAGCTAATTTGTATATATAGTGAACACAAGCAATTTAACTTCATTCTGTGGCATGTGAACATCCAACTGTTCTAAGATCATTTGTTGAAAAGACTATTCTTTCCCCCACTGAACTATCTTGGCATTCTTGCTGATAACCAACTGACCACTTCTAAGAGTTTATTTATGGACTCTTGACTCTATCCTATTATCTGTATGTCTATGCCTATGCTAGGACCACAGTCTTCATTATTCCGCAGTAAATTTTGAGAGTGGGAAATAGAAGGCCTCCAACTTTGTTCTTTTTGAAGCATGCATTGGCTATTCAGGGTCCTTTACAAGCATGTATAAAGTTTTAGGATCGGCTTTTCAATTTCTACAAAAATTTCAGCTGCAATTTTGACAGAGTTTGCATTATATTAGTAGGTTAATTTGGGGATTATGGACATCTTAACAATACTGTCTTCTATTCCATGAGTATGAGTGTATTTATAATCATTTAGATCTTCTTTTCTTAAAAAAGGTATTCATGCAAACGTTATTATCACTGAGCTATGGAAGTCTCATAGGGAAATCGTTTCTTTTTCTCTGTTGTCTGATTTATTTCCGACTCATCACCTGCATAAAACCCAAATGTGGTGATGTGGTTGAGATCATGGGCGTTTGATAATAAATCATCTGTTTTTCCCATATGATGCCCACTACGGTTGTCCATTCACAGCCCCTCAACAGCCCAATTGCCTTTAAGTAAAAGTGAAAGTCGCTCAGTAGTGTCCAACTCTTTGCGACCCCATGGACTACACAGACCATGGAATCTTCCAGGTCAGAATACTGGAGTCGGTAGCCGTTCCCTTCTCCAGGGCAACTTCCCAACCCAGGGATCAAACCCAGGTCTCCTGCATTACAGGCAGATTCTTTACCAGCTAAGCCACCAGGGAAGCCCAATTGTTCTTTGTAGAGGTGGGCAAAAATGCTTTGAGGCATCTGGTCTACCTACAACATTCATCACATCCATTTCAACTCAAAGTAGAACTTACTCATCTGTAGCCAGAATAACCCATGCTTTTAAATAAGGCCATGTATACTAGAAAAAAAACTTAGGAGAAAGGGTAAGAGGGAGAAGTGAATATATGACTTAGATATGTGGTCCTTTCAGGTTGCATCTCAAATATTTGGTCTACTTTTTCAGAGTTGCTATTTTTTTTTCTTTTTTGAATGTTAAATATGGGTTAAACACTTACTAAGAGCTTTCTGTACATCAGAACCCTAGATGACGTGTGCTATTATCTCCATTTATGGTTAGGAAAAAAGCGATTAGCAGCAGATTTCCTATGGTTAGGTGAAGTATCAGGAACAGGTAAAATAAATAAAGACGCACATAAGTGAGTGAGAATGAAATATAACATATAACAAGATGAAATTTTAAAAAATCATCTGACTTCAAGAATACTACTCAATACTTTCTTTATTAGATAAGCTCCCTAGAATGGCTACAGGGAAGTGCTAAGAGAAACTCTAGCTCAGTCAAGTCATTATACTTATGTGCTCAATGAGAACAGGAGCACACACCCCACCCAAAGATGTGACGGGATCTCGCAAGGTAGCTGCCAGGTTCAGGGGCCGTCGCTCCCTTTGTCTCTAGACCCTTCCTTTTTAGCCACAAGAAAAAATAAAACTCTTCACAGATGATTGTTTTTTTTTTTTTTTCAGAGTTTCCTTATCTTTAAGACGGACTGGGTATTTGGGATGCTGGCAGCACATTTCTCAGTAACACCACCTCCTGTAGTTACCTCTATCCAAGCCTGCACATTGGCTCAAGGAAATGCACACAACATCAAACAAAGAAACCTGCCACCTATGACCTCAGTCTGGACACAGGAGCCCACAGAGGAC